TATCGTTATCAACTGGTCACTGAATACATTTATTACAAAAATATCTACAACAGAAGAGTTTCAACTTGTTATTTAAGAGCATCTAATATTTCTTGTTAAGAAATAAAATCCATTCTAATGTGTTTAATGTAAATAACTCGATAAGTTAAATAATTATAAAGATAATAATTTTATAGAATTTAACAGTTKATTTTATTTAATGTAGTTCAATTGTTATACAAACTAAACTATTTTTCTTTATTAGCTCTCATTGTTATTGTAAATTGTATAATTTATTTTTACTTTGGATGGTTATGTATATTTAACTATTTTTGTTCAAAAGTATAAAAACACAGACATATGTATTTCTCAGTAGCTTGGGACTAGTATTATTTTAAGGTTTTCAGATTGATATTTTAGTCATACTTTTTTATTTTTATCGATATTTCACAATTCTCAATGAAAATAACTATACAATAATGTTGACATTAAATGAGCAAGCGTGTTTAAATAATTTTAGAATTTAACTTCTGTTAAGCATGTAATAATGTACGTTTTGATTTTCATTATTTTATATACAAATTCATACTTCTGTTTATAGTTGTATTAAAATATTTTATACTCATATAATTTCTATAAGAGTTATTTAGCATTAACTACAATTATTTTTTTTACTTTTTAACAAATGAAATGCAACATTTTTAAATATTATGTATTTATGAATTTAAATCATAGACTATTTAATTATCCATCAATTAACAGCTTATTTGAATATTTAAATATATTTTACTTTCTACTTACGACTTTGAAATATTTTTTTTGTCAAAATGATTGACCATCACTCCTTGTTTAATGTGATTTTGAGAAATAAAGACACATGCAGATTCTGATTTCTTCATAACTGTTTCATTTTTTAGATCTGGCTTTTGGGGCAAGTGTATTGCATTTCTGTCCCTGGAAGGATAACAATGAGTTAATTTAAAAATTGCAAACATATTTTACATAATAATTGTGCTTACCCATAAAGACTGCTTTTTATTATTTGATCTTTCTTTTTCACAGCTGTTGGCAATTGATTTGGGATATTAGCTACAAAAATTAATTTAAAATAATCTTATTTTTGTTTTAGTTACATTTACATTTACTATCTTCTACCTTCAAATAATATTTACGTTAAATGTTGATGTCCTATAGTATTATACCAAAGTTTTTAAAATATAAATTTAAAATACAAACTATATTATAATGCAGATATTTTATTATATAATATATATAGCTGAGTTCTATAATTAACAATACGTCTTCCTTTATAATAACATATGTGATTTAGAAAAGTTAACTTACAACCAGATAAAGGGAGAGATTATAAATACAGATATCTAAATATAAATACAATGGGGTYTTCTACACTCAAGGAAACAAAATAATTAAATACCTAGTCTATACTAATATTATAATGTATAATTCATGAATAACATTCATACTGTAAGAAATTTCTTATAATATCTCATTTACATTAAAATGTTCGGTTTGTAGTATGCCCTCTACTGTATTTACTACTATACAGGGTGTCCCATGAAGATATACCAATTAACTGTAGAGAGAGACTCACCGCCCGGATAAAAACCAGTATTTTTGCCATTTTATCTATAAACTAAAAAAATTATTAAAAACCATGTGATTAAATAAAATAAAATGTTGAAAGGTCRACATTTTCAGTATAATAAAATCTAWAAAATAGGTATCTTTAAAAGTAAAATACATGTAGCCCTTTTCTATGCGAGTCTAATAAAAAAAATAGATTTATGATATGTTTATTATCTTAGAAGATATCGTAATGGATAAATCCTTGCGGAACACCCTGTATACTTATATTTTGATTTTAGGCAATATTATATTCTCGTAATAAGTGGTTGATGCAAAAGTGGTTTAATAATGAACAAAAATCCTTAAAAATAAGTAATATATTATTATAAATAATTATTTAGTATAAATAATAATAATAATAATAACATAATTATATGATATWATCAACGCATCAATTTTATTCAAACCTCTCCAATACGTTTCAATGAAATACTTATAATAGTTATTATATTTATTTATATGTATATATAATTTATATATTACAACTTGGATGTAAATCTGGAGCTCACAAATTGTTCACAATATTTAGCCTCAACAGGAGTCAAAAACTTTTAATCATTTGGGCAAACATTTTGAAACAAAACGTAACGTGAAAATATAAAACCTTGTGTAAACCCAAGAATTATCAACTAATGACTAAAATACCATTAATTCACTATAATAAAGACATAAATTGTGTAGAGTATCTACGATAAGCGATTTGYCTAATAAATAACCCCGAAAAAAATAACCCCATGAAAAAATAACTACGGAAAAAATAACCCTATAATAATATTGATTTGTAAGGAGTACCTGCAAGCACCTACCTATTTGTAATACAATTCAATTTCAATAATATAATAATAATTTAAAACAAATTGTCAAATTTTTCAATTACGGTAAAAACAAATGGAAATGTCAATAATATATAAATAAAAAATATTTACCATAAATGTGTAATACAATGATGTTCATGATCAATTTTAATGAAACGATTTTTAGACAGGGAAGTTTATAAAATACATGGACATTTTTGCAGCATTTCCACCTTATAAAATTTAAACACTCTTTGTGTACAACATACATATATTTTTTAAATGCCAACTTTTCTTTGCTCTTCTGGCTCTCAAAAATACCTAGTATATCCATATTATTATTCAAATAGAAATTAAAACAAAGCACAGAGAAATATATAATATACGAAACACGAAAGCACACTGTAGTACCAAATACTGAGAAATGAACTCACAGGACTTGACAAATTTTATAAATTACCGCTTCTATCAGAACATTAAAGATAAAGGTACCTTTCTAATATTATATAATCTATCCATTATAATATTATTTCACATTGTCGCTGTACCTTGTTATTATAATATATCTGATCAATATGACAGACTGGCATCGTGCTCAGAATTGTTTTATCGTAGGTAATCAATAATTTATCATTGAATCCAAAATTAACGTTATTTGTGGGAACATAAAAATTGTACGTAGATAATAGGTATATTAAACATTTTTTAATTTTTTTCACGCAATGACATATTAACACCAATATTTAGATTAATTTGCAAAATCTCATTTGGGGTTATTTTTTCTGTGGTTATTTTTTCACGGGGTTATTTATTCGGGGTTCTTTTTTTCGGGGTCTAAATTTCCAGGGTTATTTTTTCGCGGTACCACGATAAGCATACAGTAATATCATGTAGAGTGCATACGACAAGATAGCCAAATATTAGTATTAAATGTACTTATACTAGAATACTGTTAATCAACTTTATCAAACCATTTCTATTASTAATGTATATTTACGAATAAAATGTTTTTTTTTTTTAATGAAGGCAGTAATATTCAGAGTCAATYCTAAAACATAAAAAACATGCTTGCCATTGAATATAGATAAAAAAAATTCAAAAATGGTAGATACTTAGGAACCTATGACTTTTTGATGGATAGCTTAAATCTATAGATATATTTTGTATGTAAAAACTAAATATACTTACATACAATATTTCTATTTTGTGGAGTTCTGTTTTTAAAAGTTTTTAATGGTTGTATCACTTTTATTGGTACACTTGAAACATCTTGAGTAAAAGTTTTAATTTTTGGAGAATACTTTTCTTTAGTGACTGTACGCTGTGACTTAAGAGGAGGAGCACGGTACTAAAAATACAAATAAATTAAAAATCATGAATAATCAGGTAACAAATCATTGTCAATTAAACATTTTTTTTAATACATTAAAGATTAAAAATAGGTAACTCATGTAACTATTACATTTTTGATTTATACTAACTTTTGTTCTCGCTTCAAGCCTTTCTTTAGCTACTTGACTTATCACTGGCGCAGTAGATATTCTTTGAGCTTTTTTTCTGCAAAATTCTACATGTCGATCATACGATTTAAATCCAAAATTCCGTGCACAATGTGGACATTCTCCTGAGTCAATAGGTGTAGTTGTTATAAGTTGATCATTGACTTTTTCACCTTGTGCTGTTTTCACAATTCCAACAAGCTGTTCATGCTTTGATTTACAATTTTTTTTAGAACTTTTTATGCTAATATAGGAATCTTGAGCATTTTTTATATGTGGTAAATATGCTGCCATGACTCTTCACTATGAGGTTTAAATAAATCAAATGGTTCTAACTTGGTGTTTTTTAGAATTTTTTGACATATATTTGAGTGGCATTTAAATAAACTTGGAAAAATGAAAAACAATAGATATTGAGATAAATATGAAAAAAAGTGTATAAATATATATTTCCCTTTAATAGATGTACAATTTATACATATATTGAAACAAATAATAATCTAATTAAATGGTTACTTTATACTGAGGTTTATGTACAAAACAATATGATTTCTTGAGATCAATGTAAAATAGATATATTTCAGGAATAAAATTAGGTAAACTATAATATTAAATAAAGAGAAAAAAATAAATGTATAAATGTATAATGGGATATGTAAATAATACTTTTTTAAACTTTAGACTTTAGAAGTTGAAGTTGATAATTGAAATCCGCACTGGCACTAAACACTAAAGACTGAAGAGGAAGACAGTGAAGACTGAAGAGAGAAGACAGAAGACTGAAGAGCGAAGGCCGAAGAGTGAAAAYACTGAAAACGAGTAACGACTTTATCAGTTTATCATACTACTATCATTATTTATTGCTGGTGATAACTCAATGGTGATAAGAATTATAGATTAGGAGGTACTGCCATAAAACCACAGAACGTAATGATCAGCCGTCAGCCGATTAGTTCACRATTTCGAGAACTAGAGAAGTAGAGAGGAATATTATAGATCTCTTTTCTACATCGTGGATCAGGTCTTATAATATTTTTAAGAGTTTTAATATCTATAATTAGCTGGACCAAAAACGTAAATGGGCAATGAAAATACCATTCTAATATTCTATCGTGGAGTATAAAAATATATTTTATTGACGTTCGTAAATCGAATACATGGAGATGGACCAAGATGGATTTAAATAAAATTTATATAAATTCACATTAAAACGGATGTATAATATTACGTGTGTATAGTACGTCCGTGATTGAATGAAC